ATATAATTATATGAAAAAATATAGGGTGTAATACATCAATGTAATCAGGATAAGGAATGCAGAAAAATGACGTTAAGATATACAGGGTGTTGCATTTAAAAGATACCAACATTGGGTCAAGTCCGAGGTCAAGCCTCAGAAATGATGGCTCAAAAGTTTTTTTTACGCCACTGGATTCTACGTAAAAATATCTAAAATAGTCAGTTTTTATCGTTTTCTATATTGCATGGGTAGTAAGATATGATAACATCTCAAACTTTTCGTTTTCACCCTGTATCTCAGAAAAACGGAGCTACATTCACTTTGTTTGTGTTATTAAAAGTTTCAATCAAAATAGGACACACGGTACAATTAAATTTTATAATCTGCAAAGATTTTGCATACAACTTTCCAAAAAACACTACCCTCATGTTACCGTCGCAAGTGTATTCGTATATGCAATCCCAAAGTTGCATCATTAGGGGGAAGGGTGGCTTTTTTATTTTGTTATTTACCCTCACTTTTATGATCGCCGTGGTAGGCCATCAATTTTATCAAACAGGCAAAGCACAATCTTTATAAAAAAAAACTACGTAAATCAAAAGTTGGTAAACACTCGCGAAAAATGCATAGGGAAGAAGGAGTAGAGCATTTTAATTTTACATTTGTACTTTATCTTCACGTTGTTGAAGGCACTAGGATTGGGTAGTTTATAAACTTGTAATTATTTTTGTGTGTGTACATTCAAAAGTCGTTTGAAATCGCGTAAAGAAAAAATAAAGTGATTCTTTAAACACAATTTTCATTATCCTATCGGGGTTAGATTTTAGCTTCCTAGTTAACAATATGTGTTATTTGGACTACCGATTTTACATATTTCAATCCGGCCAATTAAGTAAGTGAAATTAACTAAATAATTTTAGGAAATGTTGTACGCGTGCAAATTTGCGTGGTGGCGGGGAGGCCGCCGTATTGGTTTATTTCCTTATTATGATTGGTTATCAAACCGTTAGTCAATTGAAGTAGGGAAAACCGTTTTAATACCAGAGGGCGCGTAGAGAAGACGCCTTTTGTCAAAGTTCGAGGCCCGAGTTGCGGTCCGTTGAAGACGCCCTTAGTTTAGTTTAGTTTCGAGGCCAAGTTTCTGTCCGTAGAAGTAATCTTTTTTTCTGCCGTCGTTTGAAGAAGTTTTTGTTGCCAGACGTTTGTAACGAAGTTCTTGTAATAAGAAAAAGGAGTTTGTTGTGCCAGCCGAGTATGCGGTAGCATTAGAAGAAAATTGTTATAAAGTTCGAAATTTATTTATCAACGCCAAGGCCGAGTATTTCTTGGTAACTGTATTTGAACACCCCATGTTGGTTTTGGTTATTCGGACATTGTGATCGAATTGTATTTTAACAGGACTGTAATGGTTGTTTTTATTTTTGCTTGTAAAATAAATTTACGTAAATTGTGTGTTCATTCGGACCCTTAAACGACAAAAAGAATGTTCTTATGCTCTATTACGATTTACAAAATTCCGAAAATTAAGAGAAATTAACAAAAACGAGCAAAATATTCGTAGCAGGAAAAATCCCAAATTGAAAATTTAATTTTCTGAATTTTGAGACACCAATTGGGTTTTTTTCATGGATAAAATATCTTTTAGCTGAAAATCACAATACCAAAAATCAAAGCATAAAGTGTTTGAATTTGTAAAGGTTGAAATTTGCATTAAAAATGATTTACAGTGTTAAACTTAATATTATATTCAAGAATGTCGGAGTGTAGGTAATAATCATTCAGTTCCGTATTCGAAAATTCTACGAGTTCCATTTAGTTTGCGAGCGTAAAAGCTTTCAATACAAATGTTGGTTTAAATCTCGGTATTTACATTATAGGGCCCTCAAATTCCAAAATAATTAATGGAAAAGCAGCTGAGCTCCAATAGAATTATCTAATTTTTCATCTGACACGGTGTTTTTTTACCAAAGACCAGTCAAAAGCGTCCCTAATCGTAAAGTTTGGACGTTAAGCGTGTGTCTAAAAAAATTGAAAACAGAGAATATAGTTATTCCAAAATTCAAAAATTTCATTTCGCATTGTGTGCGTCAAGGCTTTGAATTCGAATTCTTGTTCAAAAAATGAAAGCATAAACGCACATTTTTTTCAAAACGTACCTAATAGAGCCTAAATCAAGAGGCGCAACTAAATATTGAGATTCAAATTATAGGACTCTAAACTTTTTTTTTTTTTTTTTTTTTTCTTAGGAGGGGAAATGCATTTACGCACAAAGTGTGGGGCTCCCCCGAATATTGGGTATACCCACTAAAACCCCTCCTTAGGCGTCAGCTGCTGAGGCTATTGGCCTTTATTACGAGGTAAGTTAAAAATATTAGACTTTATTAAGGAGTCCTATTTCTTTAAAAAAGATTAGCGTATTTCTACACTTTTCACTTGTTAAGTTTGCCTCTACTGTTGCACAAATGTCGAGTCGCCTTCTTTGTTGTTCGTAGCGTGGGCACTGACACATTATGTGTTCTAACGACAGATCAACTTCACAGTTTTCACACTGGGGTCGGTTAGAGTTAGAAAGTAAATATTCATGTGTGATAGCAGTGTGTCCCAGTCGCAATCTGATGTATATCCTCACCAGGTCAATTCTTGCCGCACTTATTAAAAACATTGGTGCTAAATTCGGTTTAACCTTTCTCAGAGCAGTTTCTGAGTTTGCCCATTGTCTTTCCCAGTACTCCCACATTCTCCGTTTCACAAGGGTCTGGCGTGCTGTCTTTGACAGATGCAAGACCTCCCGGTCTGACAAATCAAGTTCTGCTATCGCTTCCCTTGCCCTGATGCCCAAAGGTCTGCACCTATCAAGACGCCCCCTTCTTACATTTTCAACAAATTCCTGGTGGTTCGGATGTTCCCTATTTATCAGAATTTTGTAGAAATAGTTAACCATCAGCTGCTTACGGCGAAAAGGAAGTGGTAGTATATTAGCCTCAACGTGTAGGGAATTAGTAGGGCTAGTTCGGAAAGCACCTAGGGCGTACCGTATGGCAAGATTTTGAATTCTATCTAGTTTGCCTAACGTTGTATCACAGCATGTAGAATACGCGTACGACCCGTAGTCATTTCGTGACAATATCAGGGCTTTATATACGTCAAGAAGAGTTTTGGGGTTTGCTCCCCATTTGTGGTGTGCAAGCACCCGTAGTGTATTTAGTGACTTTCTACATGTTGTGATCAATCGTTCCAAGTGACTTGACCATCTCAGTTCGCTATCGAAAGTCATTCCCAAAAACCTGACTTCCGATGTTACGTTGATAGGTCGACCGTTCAAGGACAGTACAGGCCCATAATGGAGTTTACGGAGCCTGCAGAAGTGCACGCAATTCGTTTTCTCGTCCGATAGGATAAAACCTACCGCATTTGCATTCTCAGACACAAGGTTAACAGATCTCTGTAGTTTTCGTACAATTTCACCAATTGTCTTTCCGCTGCAGCATACCATAAGGTCGTCGACATATAAACATCGGTTGACCTGTTCCATATGCCCTATGGCTATTTCATTAATTGCAATGGCGAACAGAGAACAACTCAATGTTGATCCTTGTGGGACACCATTTTCTAGCACATACTCGTCTGAACAAACATCACCAATCCTAACGATGAATTTTCGGTTATCCATAAAGGATTGCACAAATTTCGGTAGGTTCCCTTGTAGTCCATATTTGAACATTTTTTCCAGGATTCCGTGCCTCCAAGTCATGTCGTATGCACCCGATATATCGAAAAATACTGCCACCAGATGTTCCCTGGCATCGAAACCTTTAATATTTTATTACTCAACCAAACTAGATGGTCAGTAGTTGACCGGCCTTTTCGGAACCCCGCTTGGTACGATGCCAATATCCCGTTTCCTTCCAGAACCTCCTGGAGCCTCTCGTTAACCATACGTTCTAGCAGTTTTCCTACACAGGAGGTCAGACTTATTGGTCGATAGTGTTTTGCAAGCATCCGGTCTTTACCCGGTTTTAAGATAGGAACAATTATGGATTTTCTCCATTCTGTAGTACACTTTTGCCAGCAAGAGTTGTAATAATTTAAAAGACTTTCTTTCGTTTCAGGATTCAGGTGTCGAAGCATTTCGTTATGTATATTATCATATCCAGGTGCACAAGATTTGGTCTTTCGGAGGGCAGCTTCCAGTTCTTCTAGTGAAAACGGTAAGTTATAATCAAACCTTTCGTCTGTGTCAAAGCTAGGCAACTCTCTCTCCTTTTCAGACTTTATTTGTCGGAAAGTGTCAGTGTAATTTGACGAGCTACTGACTCTATAGAATTGCTCTGCTAGGATATTTGATATTTCTGGCAGGTTACTAGTTACCGAACCGTCTAGTCTTCTGATAAATGTTGGATAGCTTTGACAGGTTTTTCCAGATATTGCTCCTATTTTTTTCCAGACTTCACTAGATGCAGTGGATGGGTTAATAGTTGTTACATATTGTTGCCAGGATCTTCTCTGTGCCTCGAGAATTGCTCTACGGCATTCTGCTCTGCGCTTCTTAAATTCAATAAGATTATCGATCGTGGCATTACGTCGAAAGCTATTCAAGGCCCTCTTTTTAATAGATATCTTTTCTTTTATTTCCGATGTCCACCATGCGACCATCTTGGTCACCACCCTTGGTTTCGATTTTGGTATACTACCGACTGTGGCATTTAATATTGCCGCAGTTAGAGTCTCAAGATTTAGTTCGTTCTCATTTGGAGGTATTAACTGCTCAGAAAAGCGTTTCCAATTGGCCTGACGGATTTTGAACTTTTCTGTGGATCTAACCACTGGATTTTCACCTCGAACTGTGATGATAATAGGGAAATGGTCACTGTTGAATAGATCACTTGCTACTTCCCATTTCAGGATCCTGTGAATGATCGGCGAGCATATTGATAAGTCAATCGTGTCAAACGTTCCCGACCTTACGTTAAAGAATGTTGCCGAGTCATCGTTTAATATGATAAGGTGTTTATCTTCAATCAAATTTAACAGCTCTTTACCGCGAGCATCACTCGAGTTTGAACCCCAGACGGTGTTATGGGAATTAAAATCACCAACAAGAACGAATGGGGTTTGTAGTTGATTAATTATTTTGTTTATTTCGCCAACATTGTAATTTGTGTTCGGAAGATAGATGTTACAGACGGTAAAACCTCCACTAATTTCTAGTTTTATTGCCACGACTTGATAGTTTGTATCGATTCTGATTCTTTTATATGGTATGTCTTGGCGGATCGCGAACGCTACACCTCCACACGCTCTTTCCGGTGAGTCAAAATCTTTTCTTACCAAGTTATAGCCTTTAATTGTATGTTTACTTCTAGGTTTTAAATGTGTTTCCTGAAGAGCGATGCACACCGGACTATGCTCTTGAATGAGTAACCTCAATTCATTTTGGTTATGTGCTAAACCCCGACAGTTCCACTGTATGATTTTGAGTTTGAATTTTGTTTTAGGTTTGTGCGATCAGCATAGGTGTATGCTCTTAAAGATAAGATTAATAGAGAAAACAGTGGAATAAATAACATTAATATGTAACAAATCACAGTGTATAAGGGACGACTACAAACAGAGTAATAATTAATTTTTGAACACAACAGACACAAATAGTTTACTTCGTAACAATTCCACCTTACAATACATTTGTACATTTCGGATTTATAGATGTTTAAAACTTTTAACAGATTAAAATGCTCTAAATATAAATAAATAAAACTTATATAAGTTAAAAGACACATACAAGAAATAGGGATATCACAGATTTGGTAACTCAATACAAATTGTAGGTAGATTATCACAGTAAATATATCACGCGTGGATGTCAACACTAGAGAGAGATTTTCCTAGGTTTCCCCTTTGGCCATCCTTTTTTCTTCTTTTGTTGAAGATATTGTTTTCTCTCTATATCTAACGCTTCTTCGTCTAATATTGGTGAAGATGGGGTTGAACTATCCTCATCTCGCTTCCTCTTATCAACAGGATCCGCGGTTGTCAAATGGGAGTGCTGAGAAAGGTTTTCAATCCTCCCAGGTTTCGATCGGCTACTTGTTTCTCCTTCAGCACTTCCATGCGGTAATTCTATTGGAGACGGAGATACGTTTGGTTTCGGCATCGATTGTTTTACATATTCAACTAAGGTGGAGGTAAGTTCTTTGATTTCGTCTTTAACTATTTTTCTAATTTCAGATACCAAGTTGGGTTGCGTATCAGTGGTTAAGCGTGTAGTAACATTTGAGTACGAAACATTTGAAGTAACAGCGGTTCCAAGCATTCGTTTTGCCTCCGGATAAGATACCTTACGGGTAACTTTTATCTCTTGAATTTGTAGCTCTCTTTTATATACTTCACATGTTCTTGAGTTTGCAGGATGAGTACCGTTGCAATTGAGGCATACGACTGGATCGTCACATGGAGAACCCGGATGTAAGGATTTTCCACAGACACATACTTGTTCCTTCTCACATTTTAGTGTTGTGTGTCCGAAACGTTGACATTTATAGCATCTCATTGGTTGTGGAACATATGGTCTGACTTTCAACGTATAAAAAGCCGCATTAATCACTTTGGGAAGTTGGGTGGCATTGAAGGTAAGTATAAGGTTGGGAGTATCAATGAAAGTACCTCCAACTTTGGTCCTAATTCTCTTCACCGCTACAACATTTTCTCCACCCAGTTCTTCCAATATTTCTTCTTCACTACAGTTCATTAGATCTCGGCAGTATATCACTCCTTTACTTAAGTTTAGCGTATCATGAGGTTTCACTTGAACTTCAAAATTACACATCCTTTTAACTTCCAGTAATCGTTTTGATTGTTTATTCGATACCGTTTTTATAAATAATAAACCTCTAACTTTCTTAATCTCTTCCACTTTGCCAATTAAGCCAAACAAAACCTTATGAATCATAAAAGGACTAATTTTGGAGAAATCTCCTTCCTTTTTTTCAACAAGCAAGAACCGGGGATAGTAATTATCCTCCTTTTCATTACCTGTTACAGGGAGCGGGGGAAAAAAACCACCCTCTCCATCCATGCCAGAAGTTTGTACTTGCGTTGGGGCCTGGTCATCCACCCACAACGCCGAGCAGCCGCTTGATAACGGTCGGGTGAGGCCTGCCCGCTCCGCCTCGCTCCCGACCGGCACTGGGGACCGTCCGAACCCCTGCGCCGTAAGGTTTGTAATAGAAAAGCCTGAATTCATTAGCAAAGTCGTCTTAGGGCGTTTTTATGCTACCGCCAGCATTAATCGATACAGGGAAAAAGGGATAATTTGGAGTGGGATAGATAAATGGGTAGGTAAGTTACTAAAGGCGGTTGGACTCGTCGCCTTTAGTGCCCATTGATCGCCTTTTACGATCTCCAGGACGGGAGTGGGTCAATTCTACCCCCGAGCCCACAGGGGTGTCTAAACTTTTAAAATTGTTCCCGGAGCCTCAAGATACGCATTTTAATCGAGATTATAAGTTCGCGGAGGGTTTTTCTCCCTCCTCGTAAAATTTGGGAGTCTACTATCATCATAAGCACCTATAGTACGGTCGTGCATCATTAATTGTCTTAACTATTCACATTTTATTACGTTAAGTACAGTTTTGTGGGTAAAATAATCGTCGGAACATGAGTGATAGCTGATAGGGCACAACTTTTTTTGTAAAATCTAATTTTAACTACCAAAAATAGCTCCGTTTCGTTAACAGCTCAAGTGTTCTCAATCCCTCTTGATAGTTTCCCGTTTTTAATTTGTAGCAAAGATCATACTAGGTACTTGCTGTTAGGAATTAAGAATGTGTTCTCCATATGCTACTTTTTTTTGAAAATTTCAAATGACAAATTAATGCTCTTTCCATTATTACAATGAAGTCGTTTTGTACTAAAACACATTTCATTATATAACCTTTTCCAGTGTTGTAATGTCTAAATTATAAGCTATTTTCTTGCGATGAAGAGGTTTAAACTGCCACTTTCTCTGCAAATTGCAAATTAAATAAACACAAAACAGCACCTGATGCTACGGACGGCACGTCATTTATCGGTGGATTTCGTGTTGTTCTAATACTAGTTAAAGAGACTCGTTTTGTCAAAGGTGGTAATTAAGACTACGTAAACTATCAGCAGCGCAGCCGTTACCCTTTGTTAACAAAACCCGTACGCGCACTTCGTATAAGTTATAGGTACAAGAAAGGGCAAGTGAAAATAAATGATCACCTGTAAAGAGTATCATTTCGTTACGCCCAAGAGGGTCAGAATGCCTCCGTTATTTATTTAAATGAAAACTTTGTTTTCTTTTAATCCTGTCTTCTAAATTGATTCATCGTTGCAGGAAAGTGGTTAGAAACTTCGAAAAAACGTTAATGAATACATTTCTCAACAACGGATGATGGCACTTTTACAAATAAAGTTTCAGAAGCGATTTAATGATCATCAGCGGGAAAGAAATGGACCGATTTGATAAGAGGGAGGCTTTAATTTGTCCGAAATCAATAACTTATTTAGATCTAACATAATAAATTTCACATTTTTGTAAGTCTTAAATTTCATTTTCTGCATTCGCTCGAACTGCGAAACGGAAGCCGCTAAAATAAATTTCAAACGTGCAGATACACTTTGAAATGTTTTTAAAAACAAAATGCCGGGAATAGTTCGCAATAGTTTTCATTTTAACCTCTCGAGCGAGGTTAATAAAACAATTTCGCCGCGTTTCGTAGGAAAAGTTTTCATTTACACCGTTTGTCTAGCCGATTTGGGGAAGTTTTGTTTTGAAAAATTATTTCGCAAATAATTCCAATTTAAATTAATTCTGGGTGGGTTTACGGGTAAACAAACGGTGCGCCTGTGCTCCGCATTTCTTTGTATATTTTAATTAATCGTAATTTAAGATTGTTGTAACGAGTAGGTCGAAACGTGTACACGCCGGGAGAGAAAGAGTAAATAAAGACTTTATACGGACTCGGTACTGCAGTCTTCGTAATTGGATTTGGGAATCGCCAAGAATGTAGGTAGCTGTTTCAGTAAGTAATACTGTAAAAACAACGAACGAAAGTAGGTTAAAGGTAACTTTAACTACCCGTATCGATTTACTTGACAATATATCTTCTAATTATAGGTGTCGTAAAAAACGTTAGGTATATATTTAGTTAATCATTAATTACGGGTAGGTACTTTTAGGTAAAACTGAAAAAGAAGTAGTTAGATCATTCTTACTTGCAATAATATCGAATATGACACTAATACCATTGAAGTGAAACGATCATTTGGTGCGTGAAATTGGCAAATAAGTTGCTGGTGCAAATTTCGCGTGGTGACAATTTCGCATGAACAAAGAACAGATATTCCTATACATCATACTACAACCCTATTGACTTGTTTTCGATACTTAGACAGCACCGACTGGAAAGATTGGCACCATGTATGAGCGTCTTACTTTTCTACATAATATTCCATGAGTGAGTGATTGAAATCCACTTCAAAACCTGTGGTGGAAAATTTAAAGCAATAAAAAGTAGATCGCGGATTTTATCAGCACGTGTAGGACAAAGAGAAAATTTGACTCGCCGTCGACTAAAATGATTAGATGTAGCGTTTACGAAAGGACCTAATTAAACATTTATTAACTAATTATTTTCATTTGCGTAATTACGTAAAAGTATGAAAGAGAAAACCGCCATGAAGATTATAGACATAAATCCAGCAGGAGCGTTACACGAAGTTATAAATTCAAGGGATTAAAAGAACCATATTAACGGTCTGTGATTAAAGCAGGCGGAAATTTCGTTTTAGTTACAGTTGGCATCGGAAAAATTGTTTAATTTGCAGGTATAGGTACGACTTTTTGTAGCAGTTTGTGTTATTTATTTACAAATAATCATCTTGATGTTACTCAATAAAAGTAATCAAGGTAATAGACAAAATTGCTTTTAACATTTATTTCAAAAGACCAAAAGACTATATGATTAAGTAATCTTACCTCTAAAATCATTTGTAGAACGCTTAAGGGTAGTCTTTCGCTTCGTTCTATTTAATCAACATTTGAGGTTTAGTGTTTCTTTATAGCCATATGACTGACGAGTTGAATTGAATCACTGGCTCAACTCGGACACTCAAAGATTTTGGGGCATTGGATCATCACAGCCCAACGTGAGGCATTGAAATAATTTTTTTTATGTGGCCCAAAGATCAAAGATCACAGCAATATAAACAATAGCATCAATTTTGGGAGATAGTAAATCGCGAAATGAAGGTCGTCTATGAAACCTGCATTTTTCAGAATTCGGAAATGGTATTACTCGATACCTCCACGAAAAGGCTAATTATACAACAACATTACTCCATAATTAGTCAAAAATAGTGACAACGTTTATATTATATTTAT